ACGACCGATTATTAGTAGTCACAGTGCGCCTTCATCTGCTGTAGTTGCGTCTCACATAATCATATGGTGCTTTTGGGATGTTAAACCCCGGATATCAATCAATCATCTGCTGTAATTGGTTCTGACGCATGCACCACGAAAGCTTGGCCTTTGAGATTCGTTTCTGATATTTACGCGGAGCGATTTCTAGTTCACTAGTGGCGTTTGACTTGAAGCCTACTATGTGAAGTGTACCAACAGTACACAAATTTATAATAAAGTTAAGCTTTTTCTGTTGTGCGGCAGTGGAGGGGCTGGTCATGGTTTTAAAAGTCGCTAGTATGTGAGACGTGTAATTATAGTATGTGTGTGCTTTGATGGGGCGGAAATTAGTACTGTGTTGATGGGAAATATGCTGGGAATTTTGTCAATGTTTGGAGGGGAAAATCCCCAAAATAGGGAATTTACTTGTCTCTGAATGGGAATTATTCGGCGTAGTACAGAACATCACTGAGTACCTTAGCCACTAGACCACCACGACGGGTCTATAACGAAGTAAATTAAGAAAAATCTTGCACTAAATCCCCTGTAATAATCCCCATGGGGGGTTGATAGTATTCTGTAAATAAATAAAAAATACAGTGTTAGAAGTTTATCTTTAAAATAAATTTTTGGATATAACAAACTTATTTTGCTATAAGTTGCAACTTTGTTTAATGAGGCTTGAGTGTACTTTCATCAACAGACCTTTGCTTTCAACACTCATCATCCGGATTGAGCTTTCTAAGCATCATGTACTCATACGCAGGAAGTGTGATTTAAAGTACTGTGTTCTCACACTCCCAATCCTACATCTAGAGATTCACTAAATGCATAATGCTGCACAAGCAAAAAAAAATGCACAAAGTTTGAACTGGCGAACCCTATTTATTAAGATACTAAAATGCGATCCTTCAACTAGGCTTCCTTAGGCAATGTTTTAGGCAGTTACCTTAGTTGCATTCGAAGAATGCAAAATTTAAGTACAGCAGGCTCAATAATTCAAACTCAAAGAAATCCCAGAATTTTCTTGCATTACCAAAAGTTTGACTCATCAGATGCAAGCATAAACATTACTCGAGGCACCATTTTGGGAAAAGCAGAGATGGCCAATTATCACGAGCATTCCTGCTATCTGCCCTTTTATTTATTTATTTTTTTCTGCTTATGATTTTGATCACTTTGAGCAGTTAAGGCAGGTATATAGCATTATTTTTGGCTGTCTTAAACCTTTGATGTCTGAATTATTGAACAGCCAAACAAAATAAAAATTGATTTTTTTATTCTGCAGTTCAATTATCTAAAACTATACTTTATTGCATATTTTTATTCGGTATGTTGCGAATTCTCTATACATCACAGAAGCAAGTTCCTTGGAACAAAGAACGTACTATTTGAGAACTACGTAACACCTCGTGTAGCACACCTTAAGTGTACACACACCGAGTAAACAAAATTATGGAAGATAGAACTTACGTTACCAAGGCGAGAAAGAACGAAGTGAGATCTGTTGCATGTGATTCGCGTTCGCCACCATTACCAACAAAAGAATTGGTTATAGCATAAAATGTCTTCACTAGACACAGCTACTAGACACAGCTAGATTTTTCATGCTGAAAGCTACAATCCCTGTGAGTACTTGAAAGCCAACATTAAAGGACATGCATTCCGTGACTTGCACGCTCCAAGCTTTTCGGTACGTCGCGGATTCACAACACTCCGCAGTAAAGGGTTAAACACAGAGGAACGCCAGTGTTTCTCTAGAAGGAACACGACTAATATCCCTCGCACACTTAAGGAAAAAGTATGAATCAACAGGATTAACCTGATAGTGCAGATTTAATTGCACAGCTTTTAAATATTTTGAAAACATAGCAGGCCAACTAACAACTGAAAATTTGTTTGCGTTGACTTGGAGTATAAAATATTACAGTTTTAACCACCGTGAGTCGAAGGTCTGCTTTGCAGTAGTGTCAACACTTGGTATTAACACAAATGCAAGTAAATACTGAACTATACATCCTACAATTCCAAAACTCGCTGGTGCTGTCAACATTATTTAATAAAGCTTTTATATATTGCACGCAACACCGCACACCAGTGTACTGTAGAAGACGTAACGTATGTACAGTTCAAGCGTTCACCACATTTACCATGTCCACCAGAGTATTTAATACTATTAAAGCTGTTTAGAGTGTCTTATGTTTGTCCATCTTTTCAATGTAATACGAAAAACCTAGCTCATTGAAACTAAACTCACGCTGGCCTACCGCAAAGAGCCTGTAGCGAGTCTCAAGGCCATATCTTAGACGCTTTCTGTTCCTACTTTTATAGCCCTGACGCACCCTGTCCCACACAACTCACACCACTTAGACGCCTCCCTCATTTGTTTTTTCTCTTTCCCACTACTCCTGAAGAAATACATAATGTCATAAAACACCTCAAATCTACCGGTGCAGGAATTGATGAAGTCCTGCCTGCTCATATCAAACTCATTTCGCCCCTAATTTCTGATATATTGTGTTTCATTACGATTTTTTTTATATTCAAGACAGGCATATTTCCTAAAGAGCTTAAACGCGGTAAAATTATCCCAGTTCATAAAAAAGGTGGTAGGACACTGATTAATAATTACCGACCCATTTGCATTCTGTCGTTTTTTGGTAAAGTTCTTGAGAAGTTGATTGGAGTACGCCTAACTAATTACCTTGATAACGTTAATATTCTGTCCCCTTGTCAGTTCGACTTTCGCAATCATTTCTCTACTGATCTAGCACTCATTCATCTAACCGATCAACTAAAAAATTCATTGACAAAGGTTTATTTGCAGGATCAGTATTCATCGATCTAACAAAAGCGCTCGACAGTTTAAATCACATCATTCTCTTTACTCAACTTGAAGTGATCGGTGTATGTGGTCCTGCTTTAGCGTTACTAAAAAGCTACCTGCATAACCGCGTTCAACTTGTGTCCATTTCTAATGTATATTCTAAGGAATTATCTACTAATATTGGTGTTCCTCAAGAATCCATTTCAGGACCGCTCCTGTTTTTAATTTATATAAATGATCTTCCCAACTGTCTATCCTTCACTAATTCCACTTTGTATGCTTCTGACATATATTTACTTCTGACAAAAGCATTTCACTTCTCGTCGAAAAGCTAAGCACTGACTTGAAAAATGTTTCAAATTGGTGCAGTGCTAACTTGTTTACTATTAACGCAACCAAGACTGAATTTGTAGTATTCTCAATGCATCAAAAATATTCAGCATCCTTTCGTACGCTGACTATTGGCTCGCACTCTATTTTTCCCAGTCCTTGCGCTTCTTTTCTCGGAATTTTTCTCGACTCTAGCTTGAAATACATAGATCATATTTCTCACATCAAAAAGAAAATAGCATACGGACTCTAGCTTGAAATACATAGATCATATTTCTCACATCAAAAAGAAAATAGCATACGGCATCCGCGCTCTGATTAAAACTCGTCCATACTTCACACGTTCCACTTTACCGTCAATCTACTATTCATTCGTTCATTCTCATTTTAATTATGGCATAATGTGCAGGGGTAACACCTATGACACTCATTTGGCTTCCCTTCAAGTACTACAGAACCAATCCATAAGAATCATTACTAACAGTTTACGCTTTTCTAACGGTAAATGCCTACTTCATCATAACAACATTTTGACCATTTCAGAGCTCGTCAATTTCAACTTAGGTATCACATTCTATAAATACATAACCAAGGCACTACCTCCTATCTGGTTCTCATCTTCCGACCTTGTTGCCCATAGTAATACTAGATTTGCACGTAACAATAACGTCCTTTTGCCTGAGGTACGTACTAATTATGGTAGATTGCTGAATTTTCATTTATAGCATTTTGGGACACAATACCATCTGTTATTAAAAATGCTAGAAACTTGCATTACTACAAGAAAAAACTAAAATCACACATTATGCATGCCTGGTTTTACTGTTTTTTACCATAGCGCTACCTTGTTTGAATGTCGACATGTTATGTATTATAACTTTTTGTATTCTTTTTCAGTTATACTCTTCACATTATTCATTGATTCATTTGGTTTTCTTTTACGTTTGTTTTCCTTTCGTATGTATATATTGTATGGGTGTGTATGTGTATGTATATTGTATATGTGTGTACATATATATATATATATATATATATATATATATATGTATATGAGATGTAACAGACAGTAATGCCAGGGAATGTACAGGGGAAGTTATTAGAACCAATGAAATGTAAATAAGAAGAAAGAAAAGTGGGTGAAAAAATAACCAGCCGTGAGCAGGAATCAAACCTACGACCTTCGAATAACGCGTTATTCGAAGGTAGTAGTTTTTATAAAAAAAAAAAAATCTCAACGAGCAAAAAAATGTCACGTGGTGCAATGGCACCACTCACTGAGATATGTCCCTGCCTGGTGGTGCCAGCACAAAGGCCCTGCTTGGATAGCTGCAATCATGGTAAGAAACAGTAATGACATGGTAAGAAACAGTAAAACTAGGCATGCATAATGTGTGATTTTAGTTTTTTTCTTGTAGTAATGCAAGTTTCTAGCCTTATTTACATTCCATTGGTTCTAATAACTTCCCCTGTACATTCCTTGGCATTACTTTCTGTTAGATCTCATTAATATTGTGTCAAAACACGGAAAAACGAGCCCTTATGTATACACTTCTTTCCCATATATATATATATATATATATATATATATATATATATATATATATATATTTCAATGTTCTGTTGCAGTTATGCTTAGTTTATAATTTTAATTATTGGTTATGTTGCCTCTAACATTGTTTTACTTCAATTTGCCCTTAACAAGAGGTCCCGACACAGTCTTTGACTTTGGGACCTCCTTTTGTATACTAAACACATGTCACATTCTTGTATTTGTACCAATAAAATATCTCAAATCTGAAACATATTTTCTCAGCAGACCAACCATTTCAGCAAGCATGGAAAAGCCAAATCTTCTACTTGGAAGCACTTGGTTCCAGTCTTCGGCTGACCACCATGGCTCTTAAGAAAGTTGGCTCACGAGATTTAAGGCAGGAGCTTCACTGCTTGAGGCACCTCAGGCTGATCCCACACGAAGGGGTGGATTGCAATGCTTTCGAAGTGCTCTACACCACTTCACATAAAAGAAAACATTTCATACATCAATCCTTTGTCAGAAACAAACACATGAGACTAGGATAATCAAAGGTGAAAAAAATATACAAAGTGCACTAAAACTTTGCTAACTCGATGAAACAAAACAGCACAGCAGCTGCAAGGGTCACTAAGAGCGAGGTATAAAGAATCTTGTAATGAATATAAAAGGCATTTACTGAGCACTAATGGTGCCATACTCGAACAAAAAAGACCATAAATACACACAAATAGATGCACAGAGATTAGAGCATTTTGCTCACAAATTGTAGCAGAATTAGCTCTTAGCACTGCTCTATCCTTGCCGCATCTTTTACGAACATACCTTGTTTTATGGTCTAACTTTTTCAATATAACACTAGGCAGTTACTTGCTTTTCTTTTTTTAAGAAAAAAAAATGTGATTTCATCCGCAGATCTAGGTGATAAGAACGCGGCTCGAGCCTAAAATTGGCACTGCCTATCGGCAACTGTGAAAATCGGCTAGAATAGCGTTGCTGGGTGTTGCCCTCTTCTCTGGTACATGCGGAAACTCGCCCAGAATGGCCATGGTTACTGCAATTCTGGACAAGCAATAACACAAATTCACGGTAGCCCTTCCTGCGGCGTACATCAGGGCATGTTTGGAATTTTTCCTTGAAAGCTGGGCTGGTCACTGTTCCGAATCGTGCATTGAACAATTTAAATTATCATATCCAATCATGGCACAAATTTTTTATAGGAACAAAGCAACAGTAAGAACAGATTCACTTTTCTACAATTTAACTAGAAAAAGCACACGTCGATGTTTGAAAGCGCAATTACTGAAAAAGCGTACCATCATCTACAAACACATTTTTGTCAAAAGCAGACCCAAGCAACATGAGGAGACAGGAAGACATGATGCTAACAGGATCTTAAATGTCCTCGTAAAAAAATGCTTTGCCAAAGACTTAACACTCAGGTACAAGGGAAACTGGCAAAGAAATGTCTATTAAGTGAAGCTAAATACCGTATCAAACTAAACTGGTAGTACAGTCAACTATGTTAATTAGCTATGGTTTCCTGACGGACATACGAGTCTTCTAAGCAGTTTGTAAGGTTTTTATCAACTCCCTAGTCAACGCTGGTTTTTACATTGTAGCAGAACAGCTGTACCAGTTATTGGGGAGATTTGGCCAAAACTAGCAGGTAAATGGAGTGATAGCAATATATTGCACTGCTAGACTAAGAGATAAGTTGGAGAAAGGCAAGAATAGTTCTTTTAGCAGATGAAATTCAGTACCTTAACAGCTCCTGCCCACATTAGGGTGATACGCCTCTTATGCTGCTCCTCTCTCTCTCACCATCTTTATGCTTTGATAATTTTCACTTCTTCGGATGGTCCTGCTTTACCTATTTGCCCCTTGAGCACTTCGATTTATACTGAAATACTCAGCTGTGAACAGTTTACATCCAGTACAATCAAGCTTTGTGAATGAAGCTTAAGTAGCATGTTAAACTTAGCACCTGTCCCTTTACCACTTGCTCAAAGATGTCTAGAGTCATCATTTAAATACACGATTGACCGCATTAAACTGAAGGCCTTTGAAAAAACATATCCTGCTGCTATGTTCTTGTTCAGATTTCGTAGAAGCTCACACTTAGGCGTCCACACCTTTCAATGTGAAGCTTGATATAGTTAACTGCCTAGTTTTATAAAAAAAAATCTCAACGAGCAAAAAAATGTCACGCGGTGCAATGGCACCACTCACTGAGATATGTCCCTGTCTGGTGGTGCCTGCACAAAGGCCCTGCTTGGATAGCTGCAATAGCTAAAAACCAACTTCAAGGAACTAAGAGCTAATGACAAAACGAGAAGAGAGCATGTTATAATTTAAAGGGAAATGCTCTCCTGCACGAAGCAAGGTCGGATTGCTTGGAACACCATTACAAAGTGAGGTTCAATATAGAATGAGATGCATGTATTTGCCGTGGGAAAGCTAGGGAAACAACAGAGCATGTTTTTAATCAATGGGAAGATATGCACACGTGTGTATGCTTGGCCACTAGTCTATGACGCTCTGGTTTTTAGAGACAGCAAGGGAAAGGTGGACATCTCCGCAACAGAGTAAAAATGAGGTTGGATGATTGGCAGCAGAAAAACAGAGAGGCAGGGCGAAAACAAAATGGCATGAAACTCGAGGTTACTCTATCATAAAGCGCAAAAAGTTAAGCTATAAGTTCACAGGGGTTTGGAATGGCTACCCAGCTCTCTGATGCAATCAACTTCAATGTGCTCATGCGCAAAACTATTGAAGCTGATCGCATCGGAAAACAGGGTAACAATGGCATTAGCTCCCTTTCCGTTGCTCTCACATTTTGTGAAATTGACTTTTTAGACGAATCATGATAAAATTCTGACAAAAAATATTTTTGCAGTGGTCGGGCTGATGGTACTCACATTTGATGTGTGCTAAATCAACACCTTCTCTCTTTTTTTTACCCCTTTTTTCTGTGTTGCACCTTCATGTATCCAGGTGCATGAAATGGCTGCAGCAATAAAACTAAGTTGTAAGACAGCACGGTCAGTGTGTCCTCGCGCTGGTAGCGAACTGTCATGAATTTCCAACAAGCCCAAGTTGCCACCCTTTAAAAATTGAGCTTGGTGGCTCACAAGTCACCACCCCATTAAAAATAGGATGCTCATAATAGCGTTCTATCCATAGAAGAGAGCTGCACAAAGCAAACTACTGCAGTATACAAGCTGTCGCCTATGAAGCAACCCTTTCTAAGTAGTTTTGTACAGTTGCTGACATGCAGTGACATAAACAGGCGCAAGCCCAGTCTGTGGAGCAGATGGCTTTTCTGGGTCTGATTTGGGATTCGACTCTTAGAAGTCCTTCAGATGTTTTGGCAAGTGTATGGAAATAGCACTATGCCATGTGCCTGCCTTTAAGGGGCACGAGAAAGTGGAGGTTCAATCCAGAAGTAGAAGGCATCCAACAAGGCCAACAGAAAGCAAAATAAAACAAGTAAGGGAGGTGCACATTGTGCTAATCGTCAATGCACCAGCTGTTTAAATTATCACCCATACAAGCAATAAAGCACTGTTAATAAAATGTTCATTGAAGATTTCCAGCATGTGAAAACTGCATGAAAGTGGTGTCACAGTTGAGCTGTAGACAGAGATTGGTATCCAAGAGCGCATCACACGTCTTCCAACAAGGCTGGATTCATTGCTTCGTCATTAATGGTGATTAATCATAATTTAGAGCACAACTATGCCAGTTGAGGCCTCTGCTGTTGTCACAGAAGCAAGGCTGTGGAGGGTATACTGGGCACATTTTCTTTAGTTCAGAACCCAATGATTGAAAGGTAAGTCTTGAAATATTCTATTGTGTTTCTTTAGCTCATTGTAAGATAAGATAGGGGCAACAATAAAGTCAAAGTCAAGCAAACAAAATCCAGTAGGAGCACAAGAATTGTAGCAGAGCAAATCAAGGCTGCTACATTTGAAATGTACTATAAGTCACGACGCCCTCACCCTCCCGCGGATGCTCGAAGTGAGTATTTGAATAGCATACGCAAACACTTGCGTACACTATCCGTTACGGTCGCTGCCACTGGGCATGCATCATAACACTAACCACCGCTAGCGCTTGAACACTAACCACCGTTAGCGCTTGCGATCCACCCGCAGAAAATCTGAAATAGCGTGCGGCATTACAAAGCTCTTTTGCGGTGATCTTGCGCGCCGCTGGGGACAAACGCTGTTCAAAAACTCATATGGTGCTCATATGCATACGCTACGCCCGCTAGCTTAGCATATGTTATTCGAAAACTATTCCTGTCCCTGATTCTATTTTACCCTGCTCGTGGTCGTCGGCAGGATTTTGCGTCGCAGCTTGAGGAGGGGGAAAGCAGTGGCGTATCCTCAAGCGACAACCAACTTTTTTTTTTTTTTTTTTTCTAGACAGCTATGCCAGAGGGCATTCGGACACACGATTCGATTTTAACTTCATTCGTTTTCGAGCACACTTTGGCCGAAAATTTGCGAAGTGTCAAATAAAGATTGCAGTTTTTTGTCGAGTGAGTTGGCACTTGATTCCTTTCTAAGTCAATTTTCATTTGGGGACTTCTTTTCCTAGACAGCAATGCCAGAAGGGACGTTTCTTCCGGGGAGGTATTTTCTTACACCCGTGTAGTACATATGCGCACACACATGCGAACGCACGCACGGAAATACATAAAAAACAGTTGACCACCTCACCTTAAGAAAAAAATCTACGCTACTGCTACTTTCTTGAGGATTATCAAGGGGACCTGTTTTCGAAGCAATCTCGAAACAATCCTCCCTGTGGCCCAACATGACTATGAAGGAGCCACCACGTAGTTTGCCGTTTGGCTAAAAATAACAAACTGTTCGCGACACCAACTCCATTACCTTTCAAGCAGACCAGGTAACGAAAAGACGGAATACGGAGATCATGTCCATTGGGCGAAGCCAGGCGTCTCGTTCACGCTGAAAGAAGAATGAAATGAGGGGCCGATCTGTCAGTGTCCCACCCGCCCAAATCCACACTTATCATTTTAAGTGTCACCGTTCCGCTTGTGCAAAAAACTAAAGCACTTTACTGGCATCACGACTAACCGAAATAGCAGCTATGGTGGCATCACCAGGACAGGATGTCATGGGCAAACAAAATTCTTTTTGGCGCGCTGCCCAGCTGGTGTTCTGTGGCGCAGCCGGCGCACGCAACGCAGCACGCGCAGCCCTCTAGTGACTTCATTACCATGAATGGATGTATTGACTTTACCCTTTAGATTGGGCGGTAGCTAGCGCCACTAAGCCGTCATCCTTAATTAACCAAACACTAGATTTTTTTTTTTTTCCCGTAAATAGTGAGGTTGAGGATTCGTACTTTGCAGCAAAGGGTTCAATTTTCACTCGTGCCTTTACTTTAGCCACCAATCAGATAACCTCCTTCTAGTTAATTCTACCCGCTTAAAGTCTATTTTGCCCTCCCTGTCCCTAACCCCCAGTGCTTTGAAAAACTCGGCGCCATCATCCTGAACTATAGGGTGAAGTCCTTTACAGAACATTATCAAGTGTTCGGCAGTTTCTTCTTCCTCTCCACACGCACTGCATACCGTGCCTACCCCTTCGTATTCAACCCGATATGCCTTGGTTCGCAATACTCCCGTCCTGGCCTCAAACAGTAGAGAACTACCCCGAGTATTATCATAGATCCTTTCCTTGGCAATTTCCTGCTTAAGGTGGCGGTTCTACTGTCGCCATATTGCGAGTAGTTCTGGAAAAAATACCAGACGGCGCCACCAAGTCAGGACTGGAAAGCCAACATTTCGGAGGTGAACTGCCACACGTGTGCCGGCGCGCCACACTGCATGACGAGGGGGTGCAAATCGCGCTGACACGGTTCGAAGAAATGAGGCAATGAGCAGGGGCTTTTTTTTTCTCCCCTTCACCGACACCTCCATCTCTCTCCATGCTCACTAGCCCCTGACCCCTGCGGTCGCTGCTTTTCAAGAGATCCCTCATGTAGGCTGCGTAGCCTGCTTGGCCAGCTGCTCTACGTTCCATACAGTGCCGGAATGCGGGGTTGAGTGAAAAACTCTATCGCGGAGGTCACAACAATGTATACAATGGAGATCAAAACTTGGACTATGAGTATTCATGCGAGGTTCAACGGAACAGTTCGTTCTACAAATGATTGGGGTTGCTGGAGCGTGATGCGGTTCGGTGGGACAGGAGAAGGCAAATTATATTTGACTATGTATACTTCCTTCCCAGTATGACCTAAGCTTCCAAATTTTCAAAAAAAAAAAAACGGGTAGTCAGGCAAATCACGTGCTAAGAAGTGCGGCCGCTGTGACTCACGGTGCCCAACACGTGCCGACTGCATAATCATTAGTTTTCCCCACTATACGTAGCGTAATTTATTTCATTAGAATTGAAACTTCAGCAGGCTAGTATGAATTCATGTTTTGGTTGATGCAGCGTTTATTTATCACGTTGCCGTACGCAAACCATCGGACTAGTCGACAAACTATGTTTATGACGAAAATGAAGCAATTACCTCTTGTGTGTCATATGAGCGAGACTCGCACATGCGTGGCCTGAATGGTCCAGGTGCGTTATTCCCTTGTCCAAGGAACGACTTCTCTATTCGCGTACGCTATTTCAACATCTTTTTTTTTTCCTGTAAAGGTCGTGGCAATAACATGAAGAGTGATCGTTTCGCCCAAATCAGTTATTGACTGCAAGCTCGTAGATTCGAGGCCGTTACCTCAAGCTCTATAAACATCTCATGATAAAAACTGGGGCGGATTCACACAAACCTCCCAGGAGTGCAACAAGGGAGGGGAAGACTTATGGTACAGTGCGTCTCCCATGCATCTTTCTACACAGCCGCTGCTTGTATTACTTCTATGTCGTACCCATTTCGAGTTCGTAAAGCGCATGCAAGGCAAAAACATGAGTACACAAATACAATAGTTGCAAAAGAGTTGAAGAAAAGGTCTTGTCGCACTGGATAAGGCTTTTGGATGCATGATTGGTCAATTCAAATAACTGTGTCGGCTAACATATCTTCAAGCAACGAGTCTTAGTGTTGTGTATATGCTATGCAATGAAGGGCTGTCATGCAGTAAGCAAGATTGAGTCAATACACGTTGTTCTGACAATTTATTTAGTACGAAACGAGCGTCGGCAGCACTTGGTTACAGCCACGAAGACACCTGAACATCACACACACAAAAAAGCCCGCAGAACTACAACGCATACATTCAGAGAAATGTGAAATCGCACAAAGCAAAAGTACATATAATCACGATTTTCGGATGCGAACTTGTCACAGCAGAGAATGAAGGTGTATGTTTTATTATTATTTTCCGTTATCCTATATCACACACGAACTTTTTACAAAAGTTTATTGGCGCTTCTGTGGTCATGTCTCTCGGTCATTGCTGCTGCAGAACGCACGTGAATGGCTGATGACACACCCGACACAAAGAAGTGAATTGCTACCTCATATCTTGTTCGAGAAAGAGTCTTTACTATCGTCAAATCTGAGCCTGCATCTGCCATTCGATATATACAAGGTCGTTCTCCTAATGTGCAGTTCTTTAGAGCGAAGCTCTTACGCACATACTGCTGCGTTGAGCGGCGGCGCCTGTTGGCGTCGTCGGCGTAACCAGTAGAGCGAACAAGGACGAAAGAGAGCGAACGCGGAGTCTGCTGATGTCACTCGCCACTGGCCTCTAACCTCGCCTTCTTCCTCCGTCACGCTCGCTGTCCCCCCCCCCCCCCCCCCGGTAGCAGCTCGCGCGCGTGCAGGGCTGGCACGTGCACTGCGGCTGGCTTCGCTTGTCGTAACGGGGCTCTCGGCATTTCGCTTGGTTCGCGGCGCCTGCAATGCACAAAGTGGTATGCGTAACGCTCGAGCACTGGCAATTTGCGTGGAAATATGTAAATAGCTACAATTGCAGATGGCCGAAACTACAGACGCACTTGGCGTTGCCCCAACACGAAAGTGCGCTCAAAATCACCATTATTTATTTTTATTTATTTATTCAGAATACCTTACAGGCCCACTGAAGGGCATTGAGTAAGGGGGGCATCAGTATACAAACGAAATAACAATAAAGGAGAAAAGCAGACGAAAAAATATATACATATATAAAAGATTACAAAAATCAAAAATCAAGGTGCAACAGCGTTATACAATGCTAGAGTGCAACGAATTCAGGTTGTCACGAAAGATTTCACGGTTACAAATGGATACAACATGATCGGGAAGACCGTTCCAATATGCAATGGCTCGAGGTAGTGATGATAAGTTAAATGCCTGCGTGTGACCATGAATGCGCATAAAACTACGGGCATTGTGAATGCGCTGGGAAGTGCGCGCAGGAGAATAAAGTGGCAAACAGTGAATTTCGTTACTATAAATGTACCTATGAAACAGACATAAAAGAGCAATGTTGCGGCGTATTTCTAGTGACTGAAATGCAAGGTCTTGTTTTATTAGGGTAATACTTGAATGATAGTCGTAGTTTCCGGAGATGAATCTCGCTGCCCTATTCTGGACGGCTTCCAACATACGTACCAAGTAATCTTGATATGGTGACCATGTGGATGATGCATACTCTAGCTGTGGGCGAACATAAGTAATATATGATAATGCGCGTATGTTAGAAGGAGCGTTGCGCAAGTTTCTGCGGAGATATCCGAGAGATTGAGATGCTTTCGATGAGACAGCTGCTATATGCGTAGTCCAGGATAGATCCGATGTAAGGTGAACGCCTAAATATTTGTAAGATGGTGTAGCTGACACAACGGCATTATTAATCTTATAGTGAAATGCTGAATTGTTATGCTTTCGAGTGAACGAGATTAACTTGCATTTAGAGGCGTTAAGGGACATCTGCCAAGTTTCGCACCACCGGAAGGTTAGGTCAAGGTCATTTTGGAGAGCGGAATGATCATTAAAACATTTAATGTTGCGGTATATGGCGCAATCGTCAGCGAACAGCCTAACTGTGGATGAAAGGTTATCGGGCAAATCATTAATGTATATTAGAAAAAGTAACGGACCTATTACACTGCCTTGGGGAACACCGGATGTGACGTCGCAAAGGTTAGATGAAATGTCGTTGATCACCGTAAGCTGCTGACGTGAAGACAGGAAGCTTCGTAGCCAAGACAGGATTAATGAATCAATACGGAGTGCGGCCAATTTAGAGATTAAACGACAATGAGGGACAGTATCGAATGCCTTGGCGAAATCAAGGAAGAGGCAATCAGTTTGTTCGTTAGCGTTCATATTAAAGTGAAGGTCAGTCGTGAATTCGAATAACTGGGTGTCACATGAGTAGCCTTTTCTAAAGCCATGCTGATGGGAGAAGAAGTTGTGCGATTCAAGGTGATCGTAGATATGAGAAGCCACGATATGTTCTAGTAGTTTGCAAGAGATGCATGTAAGTGAAATGGGTCGATAATTACGGGGCGAGTGCCTGTCACCGGACTTAAATACGGGAATCACCTTACCAATCTTCCAATCCTTGGGCAGTTCGCCTGATGATAGCGACTGGTTAAATAGGAGACAGAGGAAGCGGCTGGAAATATCTGTGGTGTTCTTCAATATTTTAGAGTTAATGTTATCAATACCTGATGAAGTAGAAACCTTAAGATTCGTGATGAGCTGGGCTATACCTTCGGCAGTGACAATGATTGGGGCCATTAAAGCGAAAGGGTGATCTGGAACAAATGGCACATTGGAACAATCTTCCTGTGTAAAAACAGACGCGAAGTATTCATTGAAAGCAATAGCGGAAGCTTCATCAGGAAGCGGCGTTAGTTCACTATCGTGTATTGTAATGTGATTAGGAGACTTGTTGTAGGGTGAAATTATTTGCCAGAACTTTTTGGGGTTATTTTTGAGAAGTGACGGCAAGTCCTGCGAATAATATTTCTTCTTCGCTGTGTCTAAGGCTTTACAATAGTCTTGTAAGCAGACCTTGTATTTATCCCAGTAGGACACAGAGCCAATGCGTTTTGCGGTATCATAGAAACGTTTCTTTTTATTGCGTAATGTTCGAACATGTTTAGTAAACCAAGGGTTAGTTTTATCGTTGGAAGCAGAGATCAGCGGCACAAGCTGGTCAACTAACTCTAATAATTTTACTTTAAAAGATTAGATAGCATCGTCACAATTGGTGAATTTCTTGACAGTGCAC